ATATATTACAAATAACTTTGGAAAAAAAAAAATGCTCTAACCCTTCTTCTAGCTTCCCTGAGGAAATACTAGTAACAATAAAAAGCAGGTTTTATTTTAGAATAGAAGATGCTTGTAACAGAAGCCAGCCTTCTCCCAGACATTGAGTGATAACATTGATAACTCCCCTATTTGGAAGCAGGAAAACTCTTTCTACATTCTGTTCTCCAGTATTTTGGTACTAAATGTTACAGTCCTGCCTTCATGAGAGCGCAATTAGGAGTGAAAACATCCTGAATTCATACAGTTGCTTCCTACCAAACTGAACACAAAAGCTCATTATAGCCCTTTGACTTACTTCCCCAGAGCCTTCGTCTGCAGAGTTCCTAAGAAATTCCTCGTAGCTGTATTTTGCAATCCCTGTATGAGAAGCATCAAGACAACTGACTATATAGAAACAAGTATCAGTGGTTTTTTACATTGAATACACTAACTGCATTTTTCCTTTTTTTTCAAATTGTAAACAAAATCTATGGGAAAAGAAACTAAAGTCTTGTTTTGATAATGCTAATAAAGGGATGGCACTAGCAAAAAGAAATAACTGACAGTAATTGTGATTTCTCTAGAATTTACCTTCCAGTTTATTAAATTAAGCTGCCAAAGAGCTCCATTTGAATTTGAACCTGTTAGATGCCCCTAGATGCCCCAAAATACAGAGCACCTAAAATGGTCAATTCCACCTTCAGAAAGTATTGACTCAGTTCCAAGTGTAATAAATAAGAAATATCAACAACAACAACGAACAACAGGGCTGAAGAGCAGACTGCATCTTCAGTAGGCTTTCTAGTAAGCTAATTCAGCCAGGTCATTAGACACAATGCAGAGACTCTAGAAGTGTTCTGTTTTTTTAAAAGCAAATCTCCACAAGCTGCACTAAGGACCCACAAGTACAACTGCTACAGTGAAAAACAAAAAAGTGTTGAGTTTGCCTCCATCACGGCTCAGGGACCCTGGCACAAACAGAACAAGCTGATGGACCTGCATGCCTGTACCTGTGGCAGATCCCATTCCTGTACGTCCTGTGGGCCCAGGGGCTGCCATGGCATCGGCTCAAGTGCTGCTGATGGTCGGAGGGCAAAGAAGCCAGCAGCTGCAGGGAGGAAAGGGTGAGATGTGGGCCCTGAGGATGGCTCACACTGTGCTGGTACTGTAGTGCACATGAGAGCAAAACTGGTGGGAAAGTTTGCACTCAAACCAGCAGATGAGAGGGGGTTCGTATTGTCATTAATGGTGAATTGTGTTCCAGAGAATTGCACTGGGTGTTTTTGGTGCCGCTCTCTTCATCCATCCATCCATTCATCTGTCCAGTACTTTTACTGAGCTGCATGGCAGAACTTTCTCTCCTCTGTAGATCTAGGACTCTTCAGCGCCGTTATGATGCCACTAGCCCTAGGCCGTGCGATGTGCCTTCGGTGCAGGGAGAAATGGCTGTTCCTTCTGGCTGGCCACGCTGTCATGATGCAAGTGCTAATAAATGTGTGTGCATTAATGTGTGTGCTCTGGAGCTGAACTAAGCATACGTATTTCCTTTACCCGGCTATCTACTCTTGCCCTTCTGCTCTGTGTGATAATAGCCTACTACAAACATGCCAGTTTAGGATGTGATACCAGTGTCTTCCCTATCAAATTCTACCATTTGTGGGATGATATTCCCCCTGGAACAGCAGATGAAGGAGGAAGGCAGGCTAATTGATTCAGCACTCCCCCACTGCCTCTGAGCACAAGCACTTAGCTATAATAATTGTGAAACAGAAGAATTTACGCCAAGTTATAAACTGGTATCATAGAACTCAGTAAATTGTGTATACTTCATGAACTGTCAGCTATTCAGAGTATTGCCATATATTTTTACTGTTTCAATGCACTTTTCCAACTAATACCTGTAACTAATGTAGTTTCCCATGTTAAGGTGACATAACGTGCGTGGTGTATAACGATGGAGGGGGAAGAGTCTGGGGTTTTTTTTCTCAATAAATCCATGCCTGTAAGCTGCTAAATAACAGCTGTGTTTCAGGGCACTCAGGAATCATGGCTTAATATTCATGTCTCCTTTTCCCAGTTTAAAACCAGTAAGACCTTATACTAAAAGCTCTTCCTGTTACTGTAGCTGCACCCACTGCAAAAATAATGAGTGTTAATTTTTACACAAAAAAAACAGAGGGGGTGCAAAGCTCTAGTCTCTGTATAATGTGCACTGACAGAATGGCTTTTCTGAAGAAAGTTGGTTAACTAAAGAAATAATATCCTAGCATCTTGAAAGTGCCCAGTGTGGTTGCCTTAAAGAGATTGTTTAAATTAAGCATTAAGATTTCTGTTGCTAGCATGCACCTCTAAAAAATGAATATTGCTTTTGCAATTTGGAGCATAAAGCGGCAAGATATAAAGCAGCAGGCACATTTTTGGTGGGCTTTTTCTTTAGCTAAGTGTGATTCCAATTTGGAAAAAGAGGAAGGACTACATCTTCATTGTACAGTTAAAAAAAAAAAATGTTCATATAGAATGAAATGCAATTCTTTTTCATTGATTTCCACACATAAGTTTATAATATTCCTGAGAAACTGGTGTTTTCTCTTCAATATCATGCTCCCACCTCCCTTCTTTGTTGTGTTGGCAGAGAGCTTTCTCCCTTTCTGTCTTGAACACAATTTTTTGTTGCAGATTTTCTTTCAAATATTTCATGAATGTTTATGCAAACAAGTAAAAATTTGAGTAAAGCTTCTAAATTACTGGAAATGCCCAAAGCTCTTACCAAACCTCAGTCCTTCTGGTGGCAGTTGATGAGACTTATAAGAATTAATTTCCTTCCCAACTACCTGCAATGATAATCAGCTTCCACATAGTATATAACAGAGTCTCAAACCCCATTCACACTGTGGAGGTGGTAATACGAAAAGCACCCATTTGTTCATTCTGGGGCATATGCTGCATTTTAATTTAGGACCATGCATGTTTTAAGATGGATGAAGTTTCAGCCTCTCTTTGTCCACATTTTTATGTTGATGCATACTGATCAGGGCTGAAAATTGTCAACCTTGTCCTGTTCAGAAGCTGTTTGTGGAGTTCTAGAAGAGATTAAGTAAGGCATTGTTCTTGCAACACTGTATTCTAATCAGAGACATTTTTCAGGTGATAGTAGACTGTTTGGATGCAATTCAGCTGCCTAAAATGACACTAGGTGCCTACTCTTGGATGCTCAAGTGCTGCTTTGCCTCTTGCTGCCACTTTCAAAGAGTGCAAATGTCCTGCAGATTTTGTCATGTCTGCCACTCAAATGTGAATGCTTCAGATTTTCTAGAGCATCTCTCAAATTACACAAAGCATTTACGCTTAAGCAGCTGAATCATACCTTCTAAGTATGAGAGAAGAACATTATGTATTCTTTTAGTTATTTGCTCTTTATAAAGCCTCAACAATTTTAGCCCTCTAGCTCTCTTAGTGCTCACAGATGGTATTGCTCCAAAATTTGCTGCTCCTTGTTTTTATTTCTGAATATGTACAATAAGTGAAATAAACATGGTTTGTCTTCATTACTTTCTATAACAAAGTGACTTATTGTAAGCTGTTTGGCTTTTCTGAAGGTCTGTACATATGGCATGTGACTCACAGCGGGTGTACTTTATGGTTGGTATAATTCATATTTTGACACAGAGAAACAAAGTTTTATTTGGGAAGTCTTCATCTGTTCATTATTTAGCCTTCGTGTTTTAAGATGCTGTTTAGTACCAAACATCTTGGAGTTAATGGAACAATTTTCCATTTTAAAATTTAGTTTCTGTGTATTGCATTCTGGACTCTCTGTCTGTGATCACTTCTGAAAACATTTTAGTACAAAAGCCATGGAATTTGAAAACACTTTTACAAGAATGCCAAAGGCTATTCTGGAGTGGCCAGAGGGAAAACTTTTATGCCTCATCTTTAGCTGTCATATATAAAAACACTGCATCCAGAACGCTAATTACATTAATTCTTTTTCCACAGACTGCAGCAGGTCTAATAAAAAATGTAAAGGGCAAGTGTATTGAGAAGAAACAGTAGAACTCTTGCTTGAAAATACAAGAGAAAAATTCAAAGCTCTCTTAGGCTGCTTTAAGTTCAGCAGGTACATATGTGTGTTTTGAGGCTAAACTTTTCTCGCTACATTTTTATTAGCTAAAAAGACTCCCAACTGTTGCATAAATTTTAAGAGGGACATTTATTTTTCTCATTTTATATAAATATTAAGATGTTTTCCATCTCTTAAAAGAGCGACTGTGAAATACCTGCAAGATAATGACAACAAACTTGCCATTGCCTAAATTTTTGAATGAATGCTTGCTTGGTGTGCTTGCAAAAATACAGAAATTATTCTGATTCCAATTTAAATTTATTGCAAGATGGGAGAATCTTGAATCTGCACTTTTAAGTAAGATGTGTAGAGCTTTCATATCAGACCAGTCTTTGATGCTGGCATTCACTGAGCACTAACATGAGCTAGCTGAAATGATGCTTCTAGATCTCTGTACATATGCTGAAAGCTGAAACAGTGGATCAAATGATAAAGAGTCCTTATTTATTATCACTTCAATAGATATGTCACAAGTACTTATTTTAAAAGGGGTGGAGGAGATAATGTCTGTTTCCAGAAATAAAACTGTGCATTTAGGCAGTGAGAATGCAATGTGAATATCTAATAGGTGTATTTTGCCTTTAAAATCTCAGATTTTTCCATTCCTTCTGGAAGTGCTGGAAGTCTCCGTTTGTAAAGTTATGTGGAAAACAAGCTCTTTCTGGTTAAAGCTGTGTATTGTATGACTTGGTTAAAAAACACAGAAAAACTTTTAACTGCTTTTTATAAAATCTGTTCCAGTGAAACCGCTGTTAACTTTTTGGAGGTTCGGTTATTCTTTCTTTAAACAGTCAACTAGTTTTATCAGCAAAAGAACAACTCATTTGATTAATGATCATTTTTATCTCTTTGAAAGGATCCTTTCCGACCATTGGGGTGAAGTCTCTTTCGAGATTCCTGAGGGCGGGATTTTTAAATAGCATCCTGGCCTCACATCCAGTGTCAGGAGGTGGATCTTTACCCCCCAGCATTTCCTCTGGTAGGTATTCCAGCCTATTCCCCCACATCAATTTTTTTGCCTTCACCCTTTGCCACATCTTTCACACACCTTAGGGGAACAAAATTTGGTATTGGTCAGACAGGGAGATTAGATGTCCCTGGCAATAAAAAGACAAACTGAAAGAAAATGGGAAAGATAAGTTACTTTTCAGGAACTAGCCATTTCCCTGAATGAATGTATAGGAGAAATTGTGAGAGCAACTGATTTGTAGTTAAGCGATCAACCTAAATATAGAAAGAGAAGTCTTGGTATCCTCTAATCACGCACTTCATGAAGCATGCCCGTGTGCACCAGGAACACATAACTTTAAAAATGCCTCTATAAAATCCCAGATTATATGTGACTCTGTGACTCTTCCCTAAAAATTTACATTCCATTGCTAAAACATGGAAGCAAAACAAATTTCAAAAGGCAAAATTTAATTATGTACTGATATAGTGTTTGAATCCTTTGCACACTTCTGTAGTTGCAACTTGTATCTCATGAAAACTGTCTTAACTTTTTTAGTAACTTTTATCTGAATTTGAACTACTACAATTCTCTTAAAAAGTGTGAGAAAACCCCATTGCCTGTGTTGCCAGGACGGTATTCTGCACTGCTTCTGGCGAGGTCCCCAGCAGAGGCACAGCTATATGATGGCACGAGGGATCCCAGAGGGTTGGCGTAAAGTTGAGTGTAGGCTAAGAATGAGAATGCCATGCCAGGTGAATAGGCTGCTATCAGATACTGGGCTGAAACAGGAAAGGAGGACAGGTTAGAGGGCATCCTTCACCAGAAAGGCTATATGTGTTATCCGTTCTCTTCTGGGGCCATTAAACACCATCTTCCACCAAAGCTAATAAATGAAGAATAAATATATGTATCTTAATTATAGTTAAAACTGAATAAAAGCTCAGTTCTGTTCCTTTCCAAACTACATATTTCTATGTAAAATTAATCTGTACATGGGCTAATGTCACACTTGTATCCTGTAATGTCACCTGTAATGTTACTCACAGTTTTTCTTAAAGAGGAAAAACCTCTTATGGTAAAAGTAGGGAGAAAATTGAAAATTACATAATGTTATTGATTTGCTATACAAAGTTAGCTATTCTCCTTCTCTATGCCCCATTTTTATCTATTGCGATAATGGTAGGCCTCATTAATACAAGATGATTTTTTTTAGGTGCTTTTATTTCTTGTTTACGTTCTTTCTTTGAATAGAAGCTTCTCAGCAACTTTGATGTCTTTTGTCATGACTGTTTGGGTGTCTTTTGTCATCAGTTTGTAAAATACTTTCCATATTTTTTTCTCCCTGTGTGTTTAGTAGCTCTTAGGCTATTTTGGCAGTTGGCATCAAAATAAGATTGGTATCTGTAACCAAACAGCTGTGGAAGATGAAATACTCCAGCCCCCCCCAAAAAATCTCTGTTTTGAATATAGTGTTATGCGTAACATATCACTGATTCTATTAGATTACAAGTGGCTTAATTGCACTCATGACCTGGCTTCTCATCTACGTACTTGCCTACAAGTTTATTTTAAAAGGTCCTCAGGACTGTTGTTTTCTGAGTGCTTGTAAAGCTTTTTATCACTTTTTTATTTTTTTTACTTAAATCATAACTCTTAAATGTGGTTTGTTTAATAAAACTGGTTCATTATTTCTTGCTATTATATGTCTTTTATTAAGAATTCTGATTCAATCTGATGAAATATTCAAAACAGGGAAAAAATGGAAATACAGCTACGTGATGTGCAACATATGCCCTAGCAAATTAATGGAAATAAATGTTACTGTTTGATCATGTAAACAACAACAGAAAAAATGAGCCAAGCAGGAACCCCACAGAAGGTGAGAGACTGCCCGCCTTCTGGAAAGTGAGGATTGTCACGTAGCTGAAAGCCAGTGAAGAAGTGTAATAAGTCCAATGGATGAAATGTGTTTCTTTCAGAAAGAGTGCACGTGGGGTCCAGGTGACATGAGACACCACAGTACAAGGCAGAAACTGCTGTTAACAAGTGTACCCTAACAATCGTATCTGTAGTTCTGCTATTTAACTCTTCCTTTTTCACTTTATTGTATTTGTATTTACACTAAGCACAATCTTAATTCCAAATTGCCTCTCTCTGTTACAGAGATGACGAGAGGATGACATTTCCATTTCATGATAACCTTCAAAATTGCTAAAACCAGCTTTGCTGTTCATGTGGGCAAAAACCCCACATATTTATTATATAGAATCATAGAATCATAGAATGGTTTGGGTTGGAAGGGACCTTAAAGATCATTGAGTTCCAACTCCCCTGCCACGGGCAGGGACACCTCCCACTAGACCAGGTTGCTCAAACCCTCATCCAGCCTGGCCTTGAACACCTCCAGGGATGGGGCATCCACAGCTTCTCTGGGCAACCTGTTCCAGTGCCTCACCACCCTCACAGTGAAAAATTTCTTCCTAATATCTAATCTAAATCTACCCTCTTCTCCAGGTTAAAAACCGTTACCCCTTGTCTTGTCACTACACTCCCTGATAAAGAGTGCCTCCCCATCTCTTCTGTAGGCCCCTTTTAGGTACTGGTAGGCTGCCAGAAGGTCTCCCTGGAGCCTTCTTTTCTCCAGGCTGAACAACCCCAACTCCTTCACCCAGTCCTTGTACGGGAGGTGCTCCAGCCCTCTGACCATCTTTGTGGCCCTCCTCTGAACTTGCTCCAAAAGGTCCATGTCTTTCCTGTGCTGAGGACTCCAGAGCTGGACGCAGTACTCCAAGTGAGGTCTCATGAGAGCAGAGTAAAATGGGAGAATCCCCTCCTTCGACCTGCTAGTCACACTTCTTTTGATGCAGCCCAGGATATGATTGCTTTCTGGGCTGCAAGTGCACATTGCCAAATTTTTTGCAAAAAAAAAGGTCTGTCGAAGGGAGTACTGATCTGACTCAGAACTGAATCTCTTACTGTGCATGATTCAGTGGAAAATATAAGTTTATTTTTGAATCTTTAATCAGTGTAGTACAAAGAAGCGATGTACCCTTTGCGCCTTTGTTTTGAAAAACACTGCACTAAACACTACACAGGAAGGATGTGGAGCTCTTGGAACGGGTGCAGAGGAGGGCCACTAAGATGATCAGAGGGCTGGAGCACCTCTCCTATGAGGAAAGGTTGAGGGAACTGGGCTTGTTTAGCTTGGAGAAGAGAAGGCTCCAGGGAGACCTCATTGCGGCCTTCCAGGACTTGAAGGGAGCCTATAAACAGGAGGGGGAGAGACTGTTTACGAGGGTGGATAGTGATAGGACAAGGG